AAACACAAGGCCACACACGCTACATCTTTAGGTTTGTACTTCCAAAGAGCTGAGGTCTATGTGCCCTGCATTATATACCGGCTTGTAAACCATGACGCCTACGCATTTCCCATATGTGGACCATTGAAAGTACCAACAGCAAGAATTCTTGCATCACTCAGGATCTTGAACCACCAGCCACAGGGTTTCGGTTTTTGTATTCGGGTATTTCTGATTTGCTTGCCTTCATAAGCCTGCTAAGCAAGTAGGTCAGTTGTTTACGGGTTTAGTGCTTGGTCCGGTGCTGAACTACAGAAGCGCATGGTGATTCGGTCTAGGTCTTCGGGTACTGTTGCTTGCTTGCCGTCGTAAGCCTGCTATGTAGATCAGATGTTTAGGGATTCAGTGCTTGGTCAGGTGCTGATCTACAGCAGCGCATGGCGATTGGTGCCCAAGAGGACCCGCATGTAGCAGATGGGCCAAAACAAACATAATCATGTTCCCTTGTAGTCCCTATTCAGTTTTACCACACGATGCCCAACACGCCGTTCCAATGATCAAGGCCCCTTTGAAGCCAGAGCATAAAGCACGACAAACCCCGTGCAAGGCCTTATGCAAGATCATGAAAACAACATTCTTCCCCATGTTCAACCCCTCTACTCATCATATCCCAAAGCCTGCGGGGATGTCACTGCCCTGCGATTCTGAGCCCATCCATTACCTGGAGTGTCGGGGGACCTAGTAAGCAGCTATCATATAGAGGCATAAAGGGACCCTCATTGGAGTGATGGTACTTATGACTCTCGAAGATATTGGTTATTAAGTCCCCTGACCCTCCAAGTACATTGTATGCCACTTGGCCCCGAGTCGCAGGTTCTTTGACCGTGAGGATATCAGGCTTTTAGGGCGTTGTTTCGGTTTAGGGTTTAGGGTTCGGTTGATGATCTGAATCCTGCACTACTTTAATGACCCTAGACTATGGGATTTATTATGGTACATCTTCCTTATTATGGGGTAATGCAGGATGTATGTCATCAACCGTTTTCAGGATGTGCATCCTAGCTACAACGATGATCTCCCGTTCTTTGTGGACGTTGTGTGTTGGGTCGGGGCAGGGGGTGGTATCAACGAAACATGATCTATATAGAATACGTAGTTGCTGTACACATTAAAGATCACCTTCTCAAAAGCCCTGAACCTCCAATCCCTTCTCCCTTTAGTCCCAAAGCCTCTCCCTCAAACCCCCGAGCTGAAGCCTGACCCCTTGACCCTTCAACTCCAGTACATGTTGCTACATGTTGCTTAAACTAGGATGCCCAGTAGTACCCTTATTCCCTTTTTGTAGTCCTAGGTTCCTTATAAAGTTACCCAATACCAAAAAGAGAGGCCTTTTTATTCTTGGGTTACTGGGTATCCTAGTAAATGCAGCATCGCGTTTCAAGAACGAGGATAGGATCGTTTGGGAACGATCCACAAAACTCGCGAAGACAGCGCCAAACCTTTACTTGGTGGATCAGGGCTGTGAGGCTTTCTCACGGTTTTCGGTGGTTTAGGGTTTATCATTTTCGAAGGTCCAAGTAAGTAGGGGAAAACAAGGCCAGCCTTATTGGCTACATGGAGCCTGCGGGGATACATTTAGTGAGTTTTCCCGCTTGAAGAGAAAAACAGTGAATTTTCTTTGTCGGGTTACCTTTGGATGGTCCTTGAAAGAACCAAGCCCCAAAGCAGAAACTCACAAGCCCTAGGAACATGGAAACCCAGAAACCTCAAAGCCCAAACGCCAAGACCCAACGTTGCAAATCCTTTCCAAACGCTCGCTTAAGACTTTGAATCCTTTCGAAAAGTTCAGGGCAGGTACAGGTCTAGAGGCTTGGGTTTGGGGTTTGCGGTGTGTAGGGGTCAAATGTTTTGGATGCAAGGTTTGGAGTTTAGGGTTTAGGGAAGGTTTGGAGCTTAGGGTTTGGGGGGAGTTTCTGGGTGGACCAAGCGCCAGTCGTAGTTCCAAGTTAAGGATCAAGGAGCTCCGGGTTTAGGGCTTCAAGCGTCAGGGTTCGGGGGAGTCTAGCCACTGTGGGCGTTTCAAAGGTTAGTGGCCTTGGATGCACTGACATGTGTCAGTCGTGCCTGTGTACCAGGAAGCTGGAAGGAGTGATGAGATATGCAGCCTAACTGATGGCCAGCAAATCCTGACAATGACACCTTCAGAAAACTACCTCTACACCAAACCCGAATCCTAGACCCAAACCCGAAACTTTGAGCCCTAAGCCCGAAGTGCGCCAAGCCTTAAACCTCGTCCCGTAAACACCAAGCCCTAAACCAGAATGTCTGAGCCTAAAGCTTAACACCCCCAAAGACCAACGCCTCCATACTGAACCCGAAACCGTAAACCTCACCTTCAACAGCCCAAGACTAAGAACCAAACCCGAATCGTGACTTTCAACACCCCAAACTGTAAACCCTAAGTTTCAGAAGACCATCAGCCTTAGAACTAGGCACCGTCCATAGAAGTACCTACGACCCCTTGGCGGCAGCTAAGCACCGCTTTGGCTTCGGCTGGGTGAGAAAAGAGAACAGGCCATGCCCAGAGATAACCCCAAACCCATTCAGTTAAGGAGTATACCCCAAATATAGGGGATCGACATTTTGATTTAATGCTCGAACTGCCGGGGTTTCTTACTTATGATCCGACTAACCAACAGGTCCCCTGATCCTTTAAGTAGGAGCTGCATTGTTGCATCAGGGCTTTGGGGATTGGGGCGTTTCAATTACGGCTTTGGGATGATGATAGAAATCCTGCATTACCTTAAGGACCCTAAACTATGGGAGTAATGGTATATTCTTTATTGATTATGGGTAAATTATGCAGGATTATCATCAACAGTATCGATATGGGAGTTTCCGAAAATTAGGCTGCCTTATTTTGGGGTCCTTCAAACATGTTTCCTACTGTTTAAGGGTACTGTATTAGGGTCCCCTATTCTCGGAAACTCCCATATCTAGTTACAGACAGTACCCTAAGGCTCCAGGTACATACTTAGGCATAAAAGTACCGATAGAGGGATCGCTTCAAGGCCTACTTGGAAGGGCAGGGGACTTAGTAAGTAGGTTATAAGTAGAGTTATAAGTACCCTAAATGGAGTTACCCCAATTATAACCCTACTTATAGCCTACTTACTAAGTCCCCTGCCCTTCCAAGTATAGCTATATAAGACAAGGTGCAGGGAGCCCTGGGTTCCAGGTAACGAAACCCTTGTTTGCTCTGAACCCAGAGAGCCCAAGACCCCTTAATTAAGGAAGATAGCTTAAGCCAGAATATGAAGCCCTATATAATTCAAGCCATATTCCTTAATTAAGGGGTATTGGGCTTTCTGGGAAAGCTTAGACCCTAAACCCTCGGCCCCGAAACCTTAAACCCAAGGCACCGAAACCCTAAACCCAAGGCCCCAAACCTTCAACCCTAGGGCCCTAAACCCTGCACCTTGTAGCCTTTAGCTCTGCACCCTCAGACTGTCCCGCAGACTCCATACCCACAAAGTATTGCCAGTAGTTTGCTATGCTATAGGATACTATACTAGGCTATACAATGTAGTAGAATATAATCTACGCTATCATTACCAGGCCTGAGAAAGCCATAGTAGGGATGGTTTGTCGGAGCCTTCTCCCATATTGGTAGCAGCTGTTTATTCCTCTTCAAGAGCTACGCCTTGGGTACGGCCCCCACTCAGTAATACTTGAATAGTATTCATAGTATAGATATATCAGGACTCTTACTGTAAGGGGGCAGTACCTAAGCTACGCCCCAAATCCTTAACACTCCCCACACCTTGAAAGCCCGTTAAACAGCCCAAACCTGCACCCGAAACCCGTTAAGAAACCCTAAACCCTAAACCGTGGCAAACCTTAAACCCTCAACCGTAAACTCTGCGAAGCCCTTGAAAGCCCAAAACTGCAATTCCTGCGAGCGGAAACCCTAAGCTCGAAACCCTAAACGCTGGACCAGATGGACCCTGATAGATACAAATATCTACGTCTGTATTTACATCTGAGACAGCGAGAGAGAGAGAGAGAGAGAGAGAGAGAGAGAGAGAGAGAAAGAGCGAGAAAAGAGAGAGAGAGAGAGAGAGAGAGAGAGAGAGCTCTTCTAGAACCCCGGTAGAATCGATAGCAGCCCAGTGCAAAATCCGATAAACAACCTTACAAAGCCCCATAAGCAACTTTGAACGATGCGGTTGAAACATCCTATAGACCCTCTTGGCTTCACGTGCTTCGGTCCACAACTCACCGGCCCGAATTACAAAGTCCAGAATCACCGGGTGATGTCATCTGTGAGGTATAGGGGCTGGCGCGAAGTTCAGGGTTTAGAGGTTTCGCTGTTTAGGGGTTTAGGTTTAGGGTTTAAAGGTTTAGGGGTTTAAGGGATTTAGGGTTTAGGGTTTAGGGTTTCAGGGGTTTTCGTTGCTGGCAACCCTTGTTCAAGGCCCCCCCATACCATTCTCCCTCAGGGTGCATGCTGCCAAGATTCCTGCATGCTGTCTCGCATCTTTGTTTTCCGCTGGCACATGCTTCGAGATATGTTCCACACGCATTTGCTGTGGATGCGACCCTACACATGCTTCGAGCTGTTCCACACGCATTTGCTGTGGATGCGACCCCTAAGTAAAAGCCCATGATTCGGCATCACTTTCTGTCTTTGTAGGCGTGCCTGGACTTGCTAACTAGTGACTAATCATGCTCGGATGCTCGATCACAGGGTCTACTGCCGCTTTCGCTTGCTTCCTCGCGAGTCTCGCTTCTCTCGGCTGCGCTGCAACCAGCTCCATGCCATGTAGTATGCTTGGGACATGGAGCGCTTCTGAACTCCAAGACTCTTGGGGCAGGTTTTGGCTTCGTCCAGCAGCTTGTCGTCCAAGCTGCTGTTGTAACAGCAGGCGCAAGAGTTCCTCGTGATCGTTTGATGCCAGGACAGAAAATTGAAAACGTACTCGAAGAAACTCACACAACACAAAATGTATGCGAATGTGTCAATCAAGGCTCTTTCCCTCGAAGATTTCCTTGCCTCCAAGCTTTGCTTGGAAGAGAGGGCTGCTTCCGTCTTTCGAGATGGTATGATGAATCAGGCCCCAGGCAGGAATCGGAAACTTGCTCGTCAGAAACTCAGGCACGGCTGAACTCTTCGTCAGGAGAGCCCTCGAAGCCCGCAACCTGGACTCCTTGGCCTCTGCCGTCTCCTCTTCTGCCGGATGCTCTGCCTCCTGTTCTGCCGGCTGCTCTGCTTCCTTCGCATGAATGACTTTAGCGCAAAACAGGAGAGTCAGAGTGACATGCTGGATGGGCTCGTGTGTTCTAGGGTGCAATCTCGAAAGATGCATATCGCCGAGCAATTGCAGCCCAGTTACTGCCATGAGCTCGGCCTCGCAGCATCACAAACTAGCGGAGAGGGTCTGAAACTTCTAGTGCATTCAGGTGTGGATCTACACTGCATGCATGAACGACCGAGAATCTCGAGCAGCCTCTTCATCTTCCTTGTCCAAGGCATTCAGCAGCTCTTGTGCGGCCGCACAAGCCGGGTCCACATCCGTCGGGTCAAACTCGTGACTGTCGTCCTGTATCGGCCATAGACAGAAAACTGCACAAAGCTTGGCAACTAAGAAAGAACTCCAAATTATCACACCAGCACGGTTCTAGCAATGCATGTTTCGCAGACTCTTCCTCGCCCATCTCTTCACCGTTGTCTTGACCCTCTCCATTTTTTTTCTCTTCTTGTTGGCCTCATCCCTCGCTTTCAGCCGATCTTCGATGCTGGATCGAAGGCTCTCATCAGTGTTCTGGGCAACGATTGATGCTGTCATCAGCTTCCGAATCTTTGCAGACTTGGTGGCGTTTTTGGGCAGCCGCATTCCCTCCAGGGCCAACAGCTCGCTCAATGCATCCGAGGAAACATCAAGTATTCCTCCGTTCCGGAAAAGGAACAGCAGGAGGCAAGCGCCTCCGGGCTCCCGGCGAAACACAAACCCAGGAAGTTTTGCTTCCAGCGAAGGCTCCAACACATGAAGCGTGTAGCGGTAGATCTGCACCTGCACTAGATGTTCTATTGCAAACAATCAGACTGCGAGCAACACCCGCCCAGCTAAAGCCCAGCAGCTTCAGAGCTCGAGAAGTGAAATGCATCGAACATCTTCCTGGGCCAATGTTTCTTGTGAGGGCTGCTCTAAAAAACAGCTGGCAGCTCGTCTTGAACGAGCCAAGTTTCGAACCGTAACTAAAGACCAGAGCTTTCGAGTCGTCGGATTCGAAGGCGAAGGGGTCCATCATTGGGACACTGGCTTGCTTGATCCACGTAGTGGAATCCTCATCATGCGTCGCTGCCTCTGGAAGTGTTCCCTGGAACACGTAGGGAAGCTCTGCCAAACAGATAGCCTCAAACACTCGAGCTCAATTCTGGGCAAAAACATTCACGGACGACCACGACAGCGACGAGGAGGAGGACGACGACTGCTGAATATACGTATTTATGTGTGTATGTATGCATGCATTTACATTTGTGTCTACACCTATATATATATATATATACGTGTATGTATATGTGTATAGATGTATAGATGTATAGATGTATACATCTATATATGTACATATGTGTAACTGTATATATGTGTATGTATATGTACATATATATATATATATATGTGTGTATATGAGTATATATATTTTATACACACATGTGTATACGTGTTTATGTACAGCAGAACATATGTAGTGATGTACAGATGTATATTTGCACATATGTGTATATGTATATATACTTATATGTACAGGTGTACATAATGTAAGTGTAAAAATATACTGCTTACCAACAGAAAATCACTGGCTCATTTGCTTGTACAGTGCCCAACCGAACCGCTTCATGAGATGCAGAAACGGATTTGCGTATTCACTCGTAGAAACATGAACCACAGCTGCAGTTCGGCTGATGCTGAGATAGAACTTGGATGCCACACGAAACATTGTTCCGGCTGGCATGCAGCTGGCCACCCAAAAGCTGCTCGCGGCGTCTACGGGGCACAGCTCCTTCCTCGGCGGGTTGAAAAGACATCATCTACTCTGCATTAAAGAGCCGGGTCCATACTGAAGCCTGTACCACATGAAGTCGGGCCACTCACAAACCTTCTTCCATGCAAGCATGCAGTTCAGCCCATGATGAGTCAAGTGATATGCGGATGTGGACGGGAAGGGCTTCAGCACCTCCTCGAGCTTCACACTTCGACCTTCGGATCTTATGACATAAGTTACTCATGAAGTTCAAAAGGAGCATACAGTTGCCAGAATTGAGCAATAGGTTTAGTTAGACGACATGCCCAGGGGCAAGGGGTTGCAGCGGCGGGGTTCCATATCCGGTGCTTCAAGGCCCGGACTTGCTTTCCCTCCCAATCCCCATCCTCCAGAGTTGGAGTGGAGGGGGTGTCTTCGTCATTGCAGACCCTTCTCAGGAAGGCCCGAATTGCCACACAGCTCAAGCCACCGAGCCTGCCATCTGGAGGAACCCCGCTCTTTCGTATCGACTGCTCCATCTGTTGGAACACCTGCTCAAGGTTTGCTGACTGGCCGAATGGCGGGTGCCATGCTCTGACAACCTCCTCCACTGAAGGTGTCCACTTGAATCCACTTCCTTCCATTGTGCACATGACCTCGCGGTAGCTTTGGAAGGTCGTGTGGACAGCAGACTGCCTGAGCAACTGCTGGCCCGCCGTCGATGCTTCCAGCTCCTGGACTGCACTCCACTCCTTCTTCGCTTCGTCAAGGATGCAACCTCGTGACTTCTCATCTGCGTCCCGGGCAAGCAGCCCAGCGGCCAGGGCGGGGAAGGATCGAAGGTACAGGCAGTACTCCAACAGCTCGGCACATGCAGTCAGGTAGGCTTGCAATTGCTCGATCATAAGTGCATAGTCTGCAGCGTCACGGCGAAACGAGAGGCAGAGCACCTGTTCTTGGAGTCTATGAACCCATCGCCTTATACTTTTCCCAGCAGAAACGAAAGCATTTTCATTAAACAGCACTTTTCAATTATTGTACTCCTACTACCTGGTATTGCTTCTTTGCTTTGCTAGGTTTGCCGGCTCCGTGCTCAGGTGTACCCAACTGTTATCATTCGAAACACACACACAAAAACAAATAAGCAACACCTTGTAGCTTAGACCACCCACTTTGCTGTGTGAAGGCTTGTCTGTCCATGGGTACCGACCCGTTGTGATAAGAGCCTGCCTCAGCTAAAGTGCTCGAGCATTGGCAATTGGTTCGCTGTACTATCCTGAGAAAAGATTCAGGCTCCCAGGCAAGGCGGGGTTGGAGATATTTGACTCGGTTTCCGGGTCTCCTGAAACACTCAGACTTCGGGCAAGCAAGCGAGAAGGAGGGAAAAGAGAGGCAGACACAACACACATTCAAGCCTCACACAGACATTCAGATTCATGTGACTAATGCTACATGCACGTACTGCCTTAGAAATACTATCTGTGCGTAGGTGTGTGTGTGTGTGCGTGTGTGTGTGTGTGTGTGTGTGTGTGTGTGTTTATGTACGGATGTAGGTATGTTGGTATGTCTGCGCATGCATGTGTGATTGTAAGTATGCATGTATACCGTATGTGCGTGGCGTGTGTGTGTGTGCGCGGGTGTGTGTGTGTGTGTGTGTGTGTGTGTGTGTGTGTGTGTGTGTGTGTGTGTGTGTGTGTGTGTGTGTGTGTGTGTGTGTGTGTGTGTGTGTGTGTGTGTGTGTGTGTGTGTGTGTGTGTGTGTGTTTGTATGTGTGTAGGTGTGCCCGTGTATGTATGTATGTATGCATGTATGTACGTGTGTACGTATGTACCCGCATGTGTGCGTGTGTGTGTGTGTGTATGAATGTATTCAGAATTCATTTGCTCATGTAGACATGTATGTAAGTGCATTTCGCGTGCACAAAATCCCTAGCGATCCCGACACCCGTGCACAAGTACACACACACACAGAGAAACATACGTAGACATGAGGACACACATACATGCATACTCACCCACACACTCAGTCGCCCCTCTCTCTCCCTCTCTCTGTCCCACACATAGGCTGGGCCAGGATAGTTGGAGTAGTTTGATTCCATCTACGTAGAATGCTATTGAAAATGGCATGGCCTGCTCTGGAGCGGCTGTGGCGTCTGGCTTGTGGCCCAGAACTCCGCTGCAAAGGCTGCGACAGGCCAGGTCCGCCAGCATCCGCTCCACGTTTTCCCCGAACATGTCCAAGGTGTGGTCGTGGCGGTGCCACAGCTTCTTGTTGTTCTTTTGCTAAGATGGAGGCAAGCACTTGGACATTTAAGCATGGTAATTGTTGCTCCACTGGCATGTACAGGCTAGCTAGCAGGCGTAAGTCACACAGAGTTTCAGCCCAGTTGCGAGAGAAATAGATATGGCTCGGAAGGGCTCCATCAAGACCCGAGTGCTTTTCCAGAGGCCATAGACTTGCTCATCCATCAGTGCCTGGGCTTTCCAGGAACAAACAAACCAAAGGGTCCTAGCAAGCTTTCTTCCAATCCCAGTTTCTCGTATCGTCAGATTGACGACCTTGTCATACTTCTCCCCGGCAGGCTCGCGATCGGACTTCGTGAGCACATGGAAAGGGTTGTGGCCGGCCTCACGTCAGCAAGGGGCTTCAGGGTCAGGCTGCGAGGGCGAGACTACTGTTTGTGTTTTAGACTGTATGCGGAGATGTGCGCTTGCCTCCATTCCACTCCAAAACATCAGCAGCAGGGTTCCAGTGAATTGGCATTTCTGTGCACAGTGTGCCCAGCTGCACCACCTGGAAAAGCTGAAACCATCGTCGTGCAGCCTCAGATTCAGGGTTTAGTAGGGATTAGGGTTTAGGGTGCAGGGTTTAGGATTTAAAGTTTAGTAGGGTTTAGTCCAGGTACTTGCAGAGCTTAGACAGTATGTCCAGCACCTTCTGGAAATCTGCCTCGTCATCGTGCGAGGGCTGCATGTTGTTCCTCAGTTTGAGGCTTGAGGAAAATAATTATGTAGGCCATAGACTGTAAGCAGAGATGCGAGAGACAGGTGCATGATTATATTTCAGAGTGAGACAAGCATCTCCAGCAAGATATCGCGTGCAAACATCTCCTGCAAAAGGTCGCCTGGCTGCGCCTTGGATTGGAAGGATGCTTCGGGATTGCTTTGGGGAAGTGTCAAGGTTGCTTGCTCAGCAGCTGCTAAGTCTACTATTCTAGCTTGTGTTCAGCACAGAGGCTATGTCCAAATAGCGTCTGCCGGCTTCTTTCAGGTTGTTGCCCAGGGCATGGGTTGACCATGGTGAGCGACGGCACCGATAGATCCACGAAGTCAGCGTGAACATTTCTGGGTGTTCGCATAGCTCGTGGAAGAAGCGATGTGTGCCACTACTGCAATAGGGTTGAATGCAGCCAAGGTTCTCTTCATCATGTCCGTCGACTTCAGAACACGGTTGCAGTGGTTGTGCAGCTTGTGACTTGGCAACAGAATCAAGCAAATCCATTCCCAAACTGCTACACGGAGCTGCAGTAATTGCAAACATGACACATATTGTCCCTGTCAAAGCTGATAGCTGCTCCCTTCTGTGCCAGAAACATGAATCCTGCATAAAGTGCAGAATGTTCGTCCGGCGACAGGACGAGTCGGCAATGATTCCCGAGTAGCGGCTCCCATCGGCAGCTTCCATCCAAGTAGTTTTGCGTGAACATCATTTTCGTGGAATCAATCTCATGACAATGCCGTTTCTCGGTGAGAGGATTGGGAGGTCTCAGGATTTCATCAGGAAAGACGCTGTCCAGGTTGATGCCCAAGTGCTCGATGCAGTGGCTCACAGCTAGCAGCTGTTCTTTGGCTGCAAGTTTTTTTTGGTGGATTTCAGAAATCGTCTTGGGCCTCGGGTTGCTTTCATTCAAACTCTGCTGACTGGGCTGCAAGATCCCTTGTCAATGTCCAAGTTACAGTTTGGCCTTCTGGTCTTCTTTCTTGCGATCAGCGACCAGCAGCTCCGTGGTTGCATCGGCGATGCGTCTAGCGGATTCCAGCTTTGCGGATGTTGAGACGTCGGAACTGTGAAGGGTGCTGAGCCGTTGCAAAGTGCCCACAGCTGCAAAGCCATTACAAGTGACGACTGGGAGCCAGACCTTGACATGAGTTTTGCATTCATCCCGCATCCTGTTTGCCTTGTGCGTATCACTTCTACTTGTTTAAAATGGAGTCGAGTAGCGTCCATGCCTCCCTTCGGGGATGCATCGCATAGCAAACTGAAGCTCCGAAGCTTGTGCTTTGCCATCTCCTCAGATACCCGAATGGATTTAAAAACCCTGGCAGGAACCGCGCAAATACCCTGCCGGTCCTCTTGAAGAAGTTCGGCCGCTTTGCGTGTGTGACGATAGATGTAATCGGCCACCGTCCTACGGCGGCTTTCTTGGGTCGCGATGTTAGGGTTTACGGAATTTAGGGCCTAGAGTTTTGTGGGTAGTCGTGGGTTCAGGGTTTTAGTAATTTAGGGTTTATAGGGATTAGAATTAGGGTTTTCGGGTTTAGTTAGGGATTTAAGGTTTGCTTCGTATTAATTATTAAATTTAGGGTTTAGTAAGGGTTTGGATTTAGGGGGTTTAGGTAAATTCAGGGTTTATGGTCGGATGGCTGGATGGTTGGATAGACTGTGTCGGGCGTGTATTGAGCTGGGCTGCTTGGGGTGGAAGGTGGGGTGTATTGTGGGGTCAATGTTTCGGATTACAGAAAGAAATTCATTCTTCAATTCATACTCAAAAACAGATGGATAGCTAGATAGATTCACACATGCACAGATACATACACAGACAGCTACGAAATTAGACAGGTAGATAAGTAGATGTACAGGCAAAGAAGAAGCACAGAGGTGGGAACAGAAGCCCGAGACACAGACCAGCACATAAAGACAACAATTTAGACACGAGCAAGAGCACTCCTCTGATATTTGCTCGGAAGAACATCCTCCAACTCCATTTGCTCCAAGCTCTGGTCAGCAACGGGTCCGGCAAAGCCCGCGGAGTAGTTCAGGAATCTCTCGATGCACATCTTGTCCTTGGGCTTCGCCTCCAACCTGAGGTGCCTCCCGTCCCTTGGCTGGATATTGTAGTGTTGAATGATGCAACAGGATGAAGCATGGAAGAACATGCTGAGTGAATCTCAACGAATCCTGCAATGCCAAGCATCTTCGTGCAGGGGTGCATCTTGTCTCCAGCTTGGTACACAGGCATGTTCTGTCGGGTCACGTTCGGGAGGTGCTGCTCGGCAGCCTGACTGATTCGATGAATCATCCGGCGTTGCAGCCGAAAGTAGTGGCAGTCCTGGCAGAAGCATGATAGTTGGTGACTACCCAGCAGCGATAGGGAGCGACACGGAGTGTGTCCTCGGATCTCTCGTTGAAGGGCACCCGCAGCATGAACCAAGTGAACACATGGATCTTGATGCCTGTGTCGCCGGAGTTGTGTCAGGTTCGGTGGTATCAATGCTGCTGGTTTCTATGGTCCTACGTGGCGAAAGCAGCCTGCTTGCATCTTCTGCTGTGCTTTGGTGAAGATTCTTGTGGTTTCCCACCTGGTTCAGGGTTTAAGAGAAGCAAGCATCAACACAACGGAAGAACGAATGAATCAATCAATCAGGCCTCTGCTTGAGGCATGTGAACTCCAGGAAGTCTTTCAATCCATCCAGATCCAGTTCATGATCCCGTACTCGAAGGAGACCTTAAACTTGTGACATCTTTGTCGGGCTAAAGGACTTAGGAGCCTCTTCAACACTTCTCGCCTACCGGTAGCAGGCCTAATTCGTGTCGAGGGACACAGCTCCCCTCCGGGGAGCAAGTCGAGCTCTAAGTCAGGCGGCATGACAGCAGACAAAATGATCTGCAGGGCTTGCAAGCTTGCCAGCTGGAGTTGGCGCTTGCATCCTCGCACTTGCAAACCCACACCGACCTGGCAACACGATTGTGAGGTGAGTCTGGTAAGAATTTTCGGGATTGGGATCTGGCAGGGTTTTCTGCAGCATTTTTTGGGGCAAGGAGCTGTGTACAGGAAGGCGGGAGTCGTCATGGCGTCGTACGGAAGACGGGGCCGATCCGATTTCACCGAGGTTTGTTGGCCTCGATAATCTTCACGTCTAATAAAATGGACGGCCACTCGGACCTTCCAGGCTTCGCTGAGTTGCGAGGCTTGCTGATCATGCCTAAGTTCCAAAAGCGGTCGTGTCAGCCCAAATAATAATAAATTCTAGGTCTAGAGATAACTATAATGGAGTCAAGCTTCAACTTGCTAAACCAGTTGTGAAATTTCTGTGTCCTTTGCAAGACTTGCCATAATTCCTCACTTCTCCAGAGGAAGGTGTAGCCCTGCATGGAGCACTCCAGCGCCTGGCGACAAATCAGTGCATTGTGCCCAAGCACAGGGATGAAGCAGACAACTTGACCGAGCTGTTTGGTGTGTGAGCACCTGGTGTAACTGTAGGACACCTTGTGTGCCAGAGCCGCTGCTCCGTAAGAAAAGGGTCTTCGTAGGACTTCGCTGCTGCACTGGAGAATCGGCCGAGGCTGCGGGCGACGGCGAGGATGATGCAGAGGCGGCAGCTGCATCCTTCTTCGGGGGTTCGTGGAGGCGCGGTCGCAGAGGCACCCCTGCTTCTGCAAACTTCTGTCTGTACTCATCAATGGCAGCCTGTTTGCGGGTAGGTTGGGCAAGCAACACTACAACGGTATTGCAATCCTTCTGCTCTGGCAGCAGCAGTAGCACAGCACAGCAGCAGGGCTTCCCAGGCTTCTGGGTTGACACCTTCCTGGCCCACGGGTCGATTGTTGATGATGGCTGCATCCACGAACTTGATGCGGTCCAGGATTTTTTTTCGAAGCTCAGCTCTGAGCTTGGCATCCTCCAACCTTGCAAAGCCAGGGACAGGGCGGAAAGGACACGGAGGGAGAGGAAAGGAAAGAGAAAGATACGAAAGAGAGAGAGAGAGAGAGAGAGAGAGAGAGAGAGAGAGAGAGAGAGAGAGAGAGAGAGAGAGAGAGAGAGAGAGAGAGAGCTCTCTCTCCTGTGTCCAATCTCCTGGCAAGTCCTGAAGAGGCATGTTTCTTGGAACACATCTCGTTAGCTGTTGGTCGTGTTGGATGCAAAAAAAGAGGCAACCCAACCCCCCCAAAATAAGGCCAGGGAGGGGGGGTTGGGTGGCCTTGGGCCGGAACTCAAAAAGGGGGGGGGGCACGAGCACAACACCCAAAAAACCTGTCCTTTTTCTACCCCCCCCCCTACCCCCCCCTTACCCCCCCCTACCCCCCCCTAACCCCCCCTACCCCCCCCAACCCCCCCCCCCCCCCTACCCCCCCTACCCCGCACGAGATGAGAGAGAGAGAGAAGAGAGAAGAGAGATAGAGAGAAGCGAGAAAGCGAGAGAGAGAGAGCGAGAGAGAGAGAGAGAGAGAGAGGAGAGAGAGAGAGAGAGAGAAGGTTTATGAGGTGAGAGGAAAAAAGAAAGATACAGAGAGAGAGAGAGAAGGAGAACAGAGGAATGATTCAGTGAGACAACGAAAGATTGAGTGAGTCCGGAGAGAGAGAGAGAGAGAGAGAGAGAGAGAGAGAGAGAGAGAGAGAGAAAAGCGAGAGACAGAGAGAGAGAGAGAGAGAGAGAGAGAGAGAGAGAGAGACATAATGAGAGAGAGAAAGAAAGAGAAAGAGAGAGAGAGGGAGAGAAAGAGGGCGAGCAGCGTAAAACTGTGTCAACAGGCAGGTGGTTGTTGACACATTATTTATATATGATTGAAGGGGAGACTCATAGAGAGGGAGTGTGAGAGGGAGAGAGACATAGAGAGAGAGAGATTGCAGAAAAGAAACAGCAAACAAGAAAAGATAGGACAGATAACGAGAGACCAGCCAAGCAGGGAAGTGACCCTGGAGGAGTGTTTGTGGCTGAGAGAACAAGTCGTGAACACCTTGTGTTCATAGGAGAAAGATTCTGTTTTCTGGCTATGCACATAAGCCCAGACTATGTTTGGAAGATGACGGTGAGCATAGTCCATAGTGGCTTCGGCCTGCCTGATTTTTTTGGTTCCGTATGGGTTTTACGGATTCTGAAGCTGAGCTTTGAAATCGCTCACAATCGAGGTAGCACGCTCTCAAAGTCAGGCAGCACGCGGAAGGCGAGGCAGAACGCCCGAATGCAGGCGAGGCTCCCCGAAAGCTCTTGTAGACGATCTCTGAACCAGTTGGCCTCCCTCATTCCTGAGCACGGCACAGGGTCGCTGATGCATTCCAGCTGGCAGTGTGAGACGCCTGTTGTTGACCACGTGTGCGCACGTGCCGCGTGCGAAATGTTGAGGCAGCACGCAGCCATGAGAATCGAGGCAGCACGCTACTTTTATTGACATGCTCTATGGTTTCTTGGTTTAAGACATTCGGTGGTGGTTCTAAAAAAAGAACATTCCGCTTCAACTTTTTCCCGACGACACGTTGGCGCGGCAGCGCGTAAGCGCACAGGTCGGGCAGCACGTTGCCAGCTCGGATGGCACGCAGACACTCCGGCGGGAACGCTCGCAATCCAGGCAGCACGCACGGCGTAGCCGCAGCACGGGCAGCAGCAAGAGACCCATCTGAGTTTTGAGGCAGCACGCAGCAGTTGCTATTCCACCCTGGAAACCAAGCCCGCTACTAAATTTAATCGAACGAAACCAAAGCGGAATCCGGGAACCCCGGCCCAGTACTAAACTTGGTCGAACGAAGCCAGAGCAGAACCCCGGAACCCCGGCCCAGTACTAAACTTGGTCGAACGAAGCCAGAGCGGAACCCCGGAACCCCGGCCCAGTACTAAACTTGGTCGAACGAAGCCAGAGCGGAACCCCGCAACCCCGGCCCAGTACTAAACTTGGTCGAACCAAGCCACAGCGGAACCCCGGAACCCCGGCCCAGTACTAAACTTGGTCGAACCAAGCCGCAGCGGAACCCCGGAACACCGGCCCAGTACTAAACTTGGTCGAACCAAGCCAGAGTGCAATCCGGAATAAACCTAAACAAAGTGTGAAACGACCCAGGAACCCTCAAACCAGGCCCAATACTTACTTTAGTCGAACAAAGACCCCGGCCCAGTACTGACCTAGGTCCCCGAAACCTCGGCCCAGTACTAAACTTACTCGAACGGACGAAGCCACAGCGGAACCCGGCAAGCCAAGACCAGCACGAATCCCGCCCGAAGCAAGCCAGCAAGAATGCTATCCCGGGCCCAACTCAGGCCCACTACTATACTAGGATGTCAGGCATGGTTGACATTCTGTGGGAACTTGTTTCGCTAGCTTCGGAATTGGGGATCTTCGCAGCTCTGTTAGGAGGGACTTCTTATTCTAGCTGGACAGAACAAAGGCTGCTAGCTGCTGGCTATCTGTACGTGGCTGCAACCTCACAATCTCTCAGCCTTGGGATAAGTTGTTTATTAATGGGGCTGGGTCTTTTGCTTGTCTCTGGTTGGCGGGTTTTTCTTACCATTGGCACAGTTCTATCAATCAACTTTGGTCCAATGGTGAAGCAAGTAGGTAACTAGGATGATAATTGCTGTAATTCCAGGACAAAGGTCACCCGGCACCTAGAAAAATAGAATAGTCTAGTGATGTCTGATGGTACTTCAGGACTGGAACCTCATCAGTTCATGCCGAAACCCTAGACCCAGAAGCTCTGCAGTGCAGGGAATTTCCTGGTGCCCGAAGAAGCTGGCATGTCTGACTTCGTTTCTGCAACGGCTCAGTCAGTATCTCAGGCTCGGGGTGTGGGGCTCAAGGGTTTAGGTCTCGATACGTCCTCGGCTAGGGGTAGGGCTCAAGTCAAGGGTTTAGCTTTTGATAGTTCCTAGGGGTAGGGCTCAAGGGTTTAGCTTTCGCTATTTCCTAGGAATCTTGGGGATAAAACATAGGTCTATAAGTTACGGCCTCGGTTGTTGAAGCATTCAGTTTGGTCCTTTCTGACAAGGCATCACAAACCCGTGGCCCCACGAACCTCGCCTGCAAGCCTAATCACTAGTCTAGGACGACTGCTCCTCACTAACTTGACAATAATAAATATAACGGAGGCAAACCCTTTCTAAGTAGGACCCGAAGCACAATAAATATGAGCCCCAAAGAAACCCTTTAGGCCAAGACCCCTCGCTTCCAGAGACCAAGGCTGAAGCCCACCAAACATCTCCATCCCCTGCAACACAAAACCCTGAACACTGTAATTCGCCAAGTTTCCCCTGAGGTGGAGGACGATGTGCAGCACCGGAGTGCGGCCACTTGCTCTGTGTAACAAGGCTTCTGCAACTTAAGACTTAGCTTCTTTCACATGGAGGCCCAGGGGACTTAGTAAGTAGGTTACACGTAGGCTTATGATCAGGCAAGTCTTTCCAGGGTAATCATAAGTGATCATAACCTACTTACTAAGTCCTCTTGGCCGCCATGTAATACCATACACTCTACCTCCTACGGGGTTGCCTAAATGTGTATGTAGCCACATCTATACCTGCAATTTCTCTATGTTTAGACGTATATACAGACAGATATATGCATACAGACACCTATATAAATATGTACTAGGGAAAACCACGTTGGGCTTCGGTGGCACAGGGCTGTTGGAGTATTTTGTGGGTTACAAAGCACTAGGAGGAAGTGGTCATACTTAACACAACAAGCTGCTACGTGTCTGCGGCTACATCTACATCAGATCATGCGACCTTTCCAACATGCTACGACTACGATGGTCCAGAGACCTGTCAGATGCAGCAAACCAGCAGGGAATGTTTGAAGCCCGAAGCTAGTCGACATGCGCTCGTAACAACTGCTGCGGCAGTGCGGCGGTTCAGCACATCCATTTACTGTGGCAGCGACTTGCATCATGGGATGCCCTCCGAAAGTGCTCTCGAAATCCGAAAGCATTCGCTGCTCATATACGATCCAGCAAATCAAAACACCAGATCACTGCACAAGCCCAGCCAGGCTCTCTACATCGGCGACGACGGGACCGCTCCCGCTGGAAGCTTCTTGGGCGTTTCCTGGCCAAAGATCAGGGGTGCAGCTTTGGCTTTGGTTTTGTTTCGCAGTTTACACAAAGTCCAGGGCAGAGGGAGCCCCGTGCCTGCAACTCCTGCAAGCGCTTCGCCCATGTTCTAAACTTCGTTTTGCCACGAATACTGAGGCGTCCATAAAACGATTTGGACTCGCCAAGGTTGTCCTCCAGATTTCCTTACTACTGTGTGACCATGAAAGGCTTCACAGGATATTACGAGAACGACTCTAACAGTTGGGCTCAGGGCGGAACCGTCCATATCACAAACATCCATGGCCGTCTGAAGATCGTGAATCTGCTCACGGTTGAGGAGGCGGATGAATAG